GGGGGAGGGTGGGATTTCAGAGCATAGCTGATGTCACCCCTTCCTCTCCCCCATATTCTGCCCGCCCTAGGCTGCCCAAAAAGGACAACCCCCGTCGGGCTCTGTGGTTGGAGAACAGCCGACGACGGGATGCGAGCGGGGAGGGCCGCTGGGACCCAGCCTCCAAGTACATCTACTTCTGCTCACAGCACTTTGAGAAAAGCTGCTTTGAGATCGTCGGCTTCAGGTGGCTAATGAGGAGCCTAATGAATAGGGTGCCTTATGAGGGACACCCCTCTGCTTTGGGTTCCTGACTTTGGGAGAGGAGGGAGAGGTCGGACGGGTTGGTGCTCTCCCTTGCCTTGAGAAAATGGTTTGTTCTGTGTTTGAGTTTCCCAGTTTGGGATCTTTCCCACCTCTCAGTGGAAATGGTTTGCTCTGACCCCCCTATGCCTCAGTTTCCCAACTTGAGGTCCTGCCCCCAGAGGTGCTGGGGTCTTCCTAAGAACCCCCCCGTGGAATTTTGGGGACCCTGCTATGGTTTTAGATCCCCTAAAGAACCCTGCCCAGAAACCTTTGGTGTTCATGGGTCACCTTGGGAGACCCTCCTCCAGGTTTTGGAGCACCCCAGTGATTTTTTGGGGGCTTTTGGGAACCCACCCAGGCTTCAGGCCCTCCTCCTCTGGGGCTTTTGGGCCCTCCTAGGACTGCAGAGCACCCCAGGGAGCCCTCAGAGTTGTGGTTTTTATATTTTCTGGGACACTCCTAAAATCCTGATGCTCTTAAAAACTAATGTTCCTCCCCATAAATGCACTGACTCATCTCTTTGTGTCCTTCAATGCCCCAACACAGCGGCTACCACCGCCTGAAGGAAGGTGCTGTCCCCACCGTCTTTGAATCCACCTCCCCCAGGCCCCCCCGGACCACAAAGCCCAGACCCCCCCCACCCGATGCTGATACCCCAAAGCCCCCCCGGGGAGTCACCAGGAAGTGGAGGTGAGTGCCATGGGGGTCTCTGGGGTGGCAAAGAAACACAGGGTGTTGCTGTGGTATCCCCCCCAGCCTGTTCCCCCATTTAACCCCTGCCTTCCTGTCCCCCCATCTCATTTAACTCTCTGCCACTTGTGTCTCCATTATTAAACGCCCCACAGCCCATTTAATTCCCAGACATCATGTCCTCCCACCTTATTTAACCCCCTGCCACCACTTCCCCCCACCCCACTCCATTCAACCCTCTGCCATCATGCCCCCCACCCTATTATCAGGTTCCCCCCCAACCCATTTAACCTCTGGCCATTGCCTCCCTCCCCACCACGTTATGCCCCCTCCTGATTTTACCCCCACTTGTCTCCCTACAGACGGGATCCCCCCACATCCTCCCCAGATCCCCCCTTCTCCACCGACGTCTCCTGCTTCCCCCGTGAAGGCGAAGACCCTGCTGGTGTCCCAGCACTCCCTGGTCCCTCGGGCGCCCGCGGTCATCTCCCAGATACTCTTTTGGTGACAACAGAGGACGAAGAAACCATCACCCTCCCTGAAGAGGACCCCCCTGGACCCTCCCGCCCCGTTTCTCCTTCTCTCTACATGCTGCGCTTGCCGCCACCAGCTGGCGCCTACATCCAGAGTGAGCACAGCTACCAGGTGGGCAGTGCCCTGCTCTGGAAACGCCGTGCCGAAGCTGCCCTGGATGCCCTGGATAAAGCCCAGAGGCAGCTCCAGGCCTGCAAACGTCGGGAGCAGAGGCTGAGGCTGAGGGTGGGTGAGCTCCAACGGGAGCGCCGGGCCCTACCCGAGTGCCGCAGGACCCCCAAGGAGCCACAACTGCTCAGTGGTGGACAGTGAGGGTGTAAATAGAGAAAACACTTTTGCCTTTTTTTTTGTTTGTTTTTATGGAAAAAAATCAAGGGGACAGCTCGCATCTGGAGGCAAGGATTAAGGATGGCGTTCCCCGGTTGGATTTGCTCACCAGGAAACTGTTATAGGGAGAAGTCGACCAAATTGGTGAGCTAATTTATGAGTGTGTCAACCTGTGTTTGTGGGGAGCTTGGAGCTGACTGAGGTGCTTGAACTAACAGAAAATTGGGTGGAGGGAAATAAATCAGTTCTGTGCTGTATTTGTTGGAAGAGCAGACTGTCTTGGGGGCATGGTATGTTTGTAGGGCTGGCACTGAGCGCCTTCCTGGCAGTGGGGAGGGTTTGGGGGCACCATTTGCCCCCTCCAGAAGCAGAAAACCATCGGTTGGAGCCCAGAAAATACCTCTCATCATCCAGGCATCCAGTTCGACCCAAATTACTGGAATTAAGCCTTTAATTTCTATATGAAGATGAGTGCTGAAACCAACCTGTCACCCTCATCATGCTCTGGCACTGTCAGAAATGATTTCCCCCCAAATTTGTCTGTGAAATGATCAACCATGGCAGAGCTCCTCCTCCTACAGGTTGAGGCTCCCATCCAGGATGTTGGCGTAGATGTTGGGGTTCATGGGCACGTAGGATTTCTTCTTCTCATCACGGAAGAAGAGTGGGTCTGTAATGATGTTGGGGTCAAAGCCTTCTTTGACAAGGTTGCCCTTGCATTGCTTGAAGGTTCCGGTGATCTCCAGGACATTCTGTGGAGATTCATGGTGTCAGAAATTGGGGATTGATGCCATTACCTGCATGGGGTGGTGTCCACTGTCATCAGAAATGCGGGGGCTTTGGAAAGGACATGGGACCCCAACTCTTGTTATCAGCACAGGGTGATGATGCAGAAGTGGTGACACCATCGTCAGAGGGGGACCCAGGTGACAACGTTGGAAGTGGTGACACCGTCAGCATAGGATTAGAGACAACAGCATCAGAACTACAGGCACCCAGAAGGTGTCATTGGCATACGGTGACCAACGCTGATTTGGGGAGACTCAGATAAAGGAGGGGGACCGTGGTGCTCTCCAAGATCTCCCAGCATCAGAGTGGTCCTGAAGCTGTCATCAACACCATCACTAGAAGCCTCAACACCACTGCTGGGAAGAGAAGCCCAGACCCACTCCTGGAGCACGCTGAGGCTCACCTGGATCCGCACAAAGCGGGGTGCAGCGTAGATGGGCAGCGTGTCCCTCGTGAAGGCGTAGAGGCTCTCACCATCAAAGCTCTGCCCGGGTTTCAGGCGCACAGCCGCCATGCCACACTTCCCCTCACACCCTGCCAACATCACCAGGAGTTGTTTAGAGCAAGTTTGGGCAACTTGAGTCTTCTTGATGATGAAGTGCTGCTGGGTGCTTATTTTGGATCGCTTTGTCCCACTTTGCCCACCTCTGGAAATGGAGTGCCCTTGAACCTGGAGGCCACTTGCGGCCATTGTTGGGATGCATCAGTTGCCCAGAATATATCAAATGTTGATTTTTTTTTTTTTAATTTCTTTTTTTTTAGTTATCAGATCCCTCTGTTTTGTCTGTGATGTCTGTTTGGACCATTGTGGGGACATTGCATGGCCAAAACAACTCTGGCCACTTGGCTTGGGCAACCAGGTCACCTCTTTAACCTCGGTGGGCACTCAGACCTTCACAGAATGTTCCCAGACACTTATTTTGGGTGAGTAAATTCTGTTTTCACCTTCTTGGTGGCCAGTTGGACCATTATGTGAATATGTTACAATGCTCTGCGATTCTTTTGGGTGATAGAGCCCTGTTTTACTCTTGTTGGTGGACCACTGTGTTGGTAATTGTGAACCCCAGACAGCAGAGGGCTCCTATTTTGAGTCAGCAAGTCCTACTTTAGCCTTCTTGGTGACTTCTCAGACCCACATTGTGTGACTGAAGCACCACTGGGTCCCTGTTTTGATCCCTGCACTGCCTGGTACTCACCTGGCACAGACACCCCATAGACATTAACCTCCTGGATGAAGTCCACCATGGCCAGAGTGGCTTCCACCTCTGTTGTGGCCACGTTCTCACCTTTCCAGCTATGGAAGCAAAGGGATGAAACTGTGAGGAGGAATTTAGGCTGGGAGATGGCATTGCCCACTTGGATGTGGGAATAACCATGCCAGAAGGAATTACCGGAAAGTGTCCCCAACACGGTCCTGGAAATAGAGGAATTTTTCGTGGTCCATCATGAGGAGGTCACCACTGTTGAAGAAGGCATCACCTTTCACAAAGACATCTCTCAAGATCTTCTTTTCTGTCTTCTGGGAATCGCCCGCGTAGCCATGGAAAGGGGTGCTTGAGGTGATTTTGATGACCAGCAGCCCTGTCTCACCTTCAGGGAGGGAAAGGAGGATTTGGGGCCAGGCAGCACTTGCCTTAGGTGCTGGAGAATGTCATATCTGTGCCCCATAGGGAATGCTGCTCTTCAGTGGTTTTCTGGGGCTCCCCTATCATAAAGGCCATCACAAGGCTCTTCTTACCAGGGCGGACACGGATGCAGAATCCATCTTCATTGCGTACAGGTTCATCCTGCTCCACGTTGTACTTGATCAGCTCAAAGGAAGCAAAAGCCTGGAAGACAGAGGAGGGACAGAGAGAAGTCAGTGAGTGAAAGAGACATGCAGGATAAAAATGAGCAGGAGAATGTTTCTGCTTCCAGCCCAGGTTCTCTGTCATTTGCTCATTAAAACTCACAGACCCCTCCAGTATCCAGACCCAAAATCTTACGTAGTTTTGTTTAAAATCTGAAATAATGGCCTTTTAAATAAGATTTAATCAAATATATTCAGCTTCACCAAGCTCATCCACTGTACCTTTTGGAATCAAAGATCTGTGGGAGAGTGCTGAGACCTGGAACAATGGGAAAAGATTGAAAAAAACTATTTTTGTAGCTTTTGCTCAGTAGACTGGTGGATAGAGACCTAGAGTTGACACCAGGATGTCCTGTGTTAGGGCTATAGAGGTGTCTGCATTCCCACAAACACTCCAGAAACTTGGAATCAGTGCCGTTGAGTCAACATTGGCTAATTCTAATCCTTTCCTAATTTTGGGAGGAAGTTTTTCACACAGAGGGTGGTGAAGCACTGGAGCAGGCTGCCCAAGGAGGTTGTGGATGCCACATTCCTGGAGGCATTCAAGGTCAGGCTGGATGTGGCTCTGGGCAGCCTGGTTGCCAGCCCTGCACATAGCAGGGTGTTGAAACTGGGTGAGCATTGTGGTCCTTTTTAACCCGAGCCATTCTAGGATTAATCAGGAAAAGGGTCTCCTTTTGGATATGAAGAGTGGATCTTGGAGATCCTGCTCTTGTGTCAACCCAACCTGATGGATCATGCTAGTTTTGTCAGGTTGGTCATTATAAGGAGGACCCCTTGGAAACCCAACCTTAGGACAATGTTAGCTTCCCCAGGTTGGCCGCTACAAGAAGGGCACACTGAAAGACCGCAGTCTTGGACTAACCCAACTCGAGGGTGTGCATTGGCATCCCCAAGGCAGCCAGCATTTATTCCTGTCATCGTTGGCTCACCTTGAGGAACACGTTGGCCCTTCCCACGGCCCCGATCTTGCCGGTGTAGTTGATGAAGCCAGCGTTGCCTTCAGTGGCCCCATAAAATTCGCTGATGGAGATGGGGCCGAAGCGCTGGAGGAACTCTTTCCACACCACTGCCCGCAAGCCGTTGCCTATTGCCAAACGCACGCCATGCTCCCGGTCATTGGCACGCTGCAAAGGAAGGGAACATCTCAGCATCTGCCCCACGGTCTTGGATTCCCCCTGGGTGACTTTGGGACTGGTTGGACTTTACCTTGGGTGAGTTGCAGAGGTAGCGCATGAGCTCACCCACATACTGGATGACAGTGACGTTGTAACGGCGGCAGTCATCCCAGAACTGGGAGGCAGAGAACTTGGCTCGCAGGACACAGGTGGCTCCTGTGGGAGTACAGGGAGGTGACTTCCCTTTTTCTCTCCTTTTTTTACCTTTTTCTTCATCTGTCCATTTCCATGTCTGGTCTTCTGTCTGCTCACTCACGTGTTGCGGAGGGTTTGGTTAGGTCATGGTTGAACTCAATGCTCTTTAAAGGTCTTTTCCAACCTGAGCGATTCTATGATCCTATGTTCACCCAATATCTAAGGTCTCTCCTCTCCTTTTCTGTTGTCTTTTGCATTCCTCTTTAATTTTTTCATTCTCACTTTTTGTTTTTTTTGGTCATCTGTCTGCCTATCCATCCCTGCAGTAATCCATTTATCTCTATAGATTGCTAGATTTCTTCCCTCCACTCTTGCATGTTTTTCCATCATCCCTCAGCCCATCTCCAGACAGCGCTGATCCATCTCCATTAAAACATCCACCCATCCTTTCCCAGCAAACATCCATCCATCTATAAAAAATACGCAGTACCGTAAAGCAACCATCCATCCATCTCCATATATCTGTCCACAAATCTGTCCATCCGTCCTTCTCCATAAAGCATCAAACCAGCTCCATAAAACATCCACCCATTCTTCACTCTTCTCTTTATGGACACAGCTCCTTTTCCTCTTTCTTTTCATCTCTCTCTCCTTCCTCTTGCCTCTCCCCACATATTTCCCCATCTGTCCATCCCTGTCAGCCCTGTCTAGCTGTCCTAACACCTATGCTGGCCAGCCCCCATGGGATGTGGGGCACATACCGACCTCGAGGCAGCCTCCCACCCCAATGAGCAGCCCAGCTGAGTGGTAGAGCGGCAGTGTTGTGTACATGATGTCGTTTTCTCGTAGGCCACACATCCGTGCCAGGTTGGCCACCATCATCACCTTCATCTCTGTGATCACTGCAGCTTTGGGCAGCCCTAGGGGTGGGAAATGTGCTTGTTGGAGGTGCCCGTATGGGAAGGGAGGTTCTGGGGGCATGGGATGGGATGAGGGTGGTGGGAGGGTTCTTTCCTGGAGGACTTCAGACCTTGCTGAGAGCCATGGGGAAGCTGGTGCAGATGGATTTGTGTAGGTTGGGATGGGATCTTATTTATGGAGTTGGACTGGGGAGATTCTGGCCTATCTGTCCCAGTGGGAACACGGTGGCTCTCTGTTCTTCGTAACACCCAACATATGGGATGTAACCAAGAGGAACCTGGCCCAGGTGGATGCATGATGGCCAAGGTTGGAACAGGGACCACTCAAAACCCCTCTTAATCTCCCCAGAACCACCTGCACCCACAGCACCCAGGGGTTCCAACCCTCCAGCCCTCACCCACAGCACCCAAACCCTCTTATATGCCATGAAGGAGACACCCAGATGCTGTCCTCCAAGGAGGAGACCCCCATGGGCTCACCAGTGGTGCCGGAGGTGTAGATGTAGATGGCTTTGGAGTTAGTGGTGGTGTTGGTGCGGTAGTGGTCAGGCATTGGCTCATCAGAGGCAGCCTCGATGGCAGGCAGCAGAGCCTCAACCCCAGGTGTGGGTGATGTGGAGTTCAGATAGAAGACACGGACGCCTTCCTGCTTCAGGTCAGGCAGCACTTCTTTCACGACAGCCTGGAGCTCTGTGGGAACAGGGACCAAGGTGAGGAGGTCCCCAAATGGAGAGGTATGCCATGTACCCCAAATGGGAACCTTGGTCACGATGGGCACCCGTCATGGTTTGGATCTCCAGAGATCCCATACAGGCACTCGATGGAACCTAAGTGTGCACCCAGGGCATTGCGGATGGGTTCCTCAAAGATCCTAAATGGTCACCTGATGGATCCCAGATGTATATCCTGACTGAATGTGCCCCAGGGCACTGTGGATGGGTTCCCTGGCGATCCCACGTGGGCACTCAATGGATGCCGGATGAATTAGATTGATGGAGTTTAGATGGGGACCCCTAGGATCCCTGCTGGGCTCCAGATGCACCCCTAAAATGGCCCCTGGTGCACTTCAGCTAGGTACCTCAGTCAGAGGGGCACCTGAGACCCAAGGATCCCAACTGGGCACCCCAGCAGGACCAGCACCCAGCGTACCCTATGAATCCCAAATGGACACCCTGAGCACCCCAAATGTGTGTCCTGTCCAGGTATGTACATATGGATTTTCTTCTGCTCCCCAAAACGTCCTCCATGTGATGTAAACCAAAGGAACTTTGGCCCCAGTAATGATCTGGCAATAATTAACCCACAGCCTTGGAGGCACCGAGGTACCCTCACTGGGGTCGGGGGGTGCTCACGCGTGTGCAAAGAGCAGCACACACGGCTATGGCCACGCCTGGGTGTGCAAACATGTGGCCCCAGGTGAACAGGCTCTCTCACACTTCCACACCTTGCACAAACAGCTCCCACCCACCTGTGCTGCCTGCAGCAATGTGGATGTTGGCACACGTGCAGCCAGTATCTGCAAATTTGCACGGCCACTGGTGTGCATACAAGTCTGTGCACAGACACTGCTAAGTGTGCAAATACATGCAGGGACACTTGACAGTTGTGCAGACACGTGCACAGAGGTGCTGACATGCAAATCCACGCAGAGACAGTGCAAATATTTGCAGGGACACTGACTCATGCAGTTGCTGATATGCACGGGAATGCATGCAGAGATACAAACATACAAGTCTGTGCATGGACACTGGAATCCATGCAAATCCATGAGTGAGCACCAACATGCGTGCAAACATGCACTGATTGACACACATTGCAAATGCATGTGCAGATGCTGACATCTGCTCACATGCACGGATGATGACACGCATGATAAATGCGTGCATGGACATCAAATCTGCGTGCTGAGACGTGTAACCATGCAGGGACACTAACATGCATGTGAGTCTATGCATGGATGCTGACACACATGGCAAATGTATGCATAGACGTGTGCAAGTCCGTGCATGAAGAACAGCAGTCCATGCACTAACACCTGTGCAAACATGCACAGACACATGCACATCCATGCATGGGCACTGACACACACAAACATGCACAGACAGCAACATACAGGCAAGCATGCACAGGTATAGATGTGTGCAAGTCCACGCACAGTCATGCAAACACGCAAGGGGCACACACAGACACATGCCTGCACACACACATGTACACTCTTGCAGACACTGATGTGTACAAATCCACACATGGAAAACATGCACCAACAACGAGACCCATCCCAAAGCCAGCCTGCACACACACACATGTGCAGACAGACACCAAGTTGTGCAACCCTCCATCCTGGCACGCACACACACACACACCCCTGGGCAGCCCCCAGCTCCCCACTCACCACTGCAGCTGAGTACAATGTCTGCCTGCGCAGCGCTCCGTGCATGCAGCAGCGCACGGCCCTTCAAGTTGCAGTTGAGGCAGGCCATGGCACAGCCCAGCTTGGCCAGTGCCAACCACGTCCAGACATAGGAAGGCACGTTGGGGAGGAAAACAGCCACGGTTTGGCCTGGCTGCAAGCCCAAGTGCAGAGCGAAGGCGCGGGCAGCGCGGTTGCTCCTCCGTTCCATGTCACCAAAGGTGTGAACCTCATCCTGGAACAGCAGCAGGGGGTGCTGGGGTCGGCGTCGAGCGTGGCTTTGGAAAACCTGCAGGAGGGTGATGGGAGGCCGGCGGGACAAACGCCAGCGGCACCGCAGGTTTGCGCCCACCAAAGTCACAAAGGCTCCCAGGTCAGCCCAGAGGAAGGGGAACCAGCGGCCGTGAAGCAGCAGCAGCAGCAGCAGCCCGGCCACGGCTGCCACCAGCACACCCAGCATGGTTCTCTGGGAGCAAGGTCCAATCGCATGCACCTTGCCCTGGCAGTGCTGGGATTGGAGTGGTTGTTTTCCTTTTTTTTTTTTTTTGTACTCTTTGCTTTTTTTTTTTTTTTTTTTTCCAGCAGTGTGGGGGCGGTTTGCATCACTGCGTTGCTCATCCATACATCCACCCTCCTGCTGGGCCTCCAGGGATTGCACCTCCTGATCCAGTATGGACACACCAGAGGTCTGGCCACCTCCTATCTGCCTGTCCCTCCATCCTCCTACCTGTCCGTCCATCTATCCACCTACCCACCCTATCTATCCATCTGTCTGTCTGTCCTTCCAGCCCCAAATCCTCCACATGGTCCCCAGATCCTTCAGCCAGCTCCTAAATCTCCAATCTGCTCCTAAAAAGGTCCAATCGACCCCCAAACCCTCTGTTCACCCTCTAAACTTTCATTAATCCCAAAGGTGGATTCATCTCCAAAACCTCCAACACCAAATTCTACACCCAGCTCCAGATTTCCCATCCAGCCCCCCAGATCTATCCCTCTAGACCCCAAAACCTCAATTCAGACTCCAAACCTTCATCCAGACCCCATATCCTTCATCCAGACCCACAATCTACACCCAGACCCCAAAAAGCCCCAATCAACCGAAAACTCCCAACCCCCCCAAAACCTCCATCCATCTCCAAAATCTCTACTGACCCCAAAAAACTCCTCTCAGCCTCAAGACCCCTATCCAACCCAAAAGCTTCCATTCATCTCCAAAATCTCCATTCACCCCTCTAATCTAACATCCATCCCCCCAGACCTCTCCCCATCCCCCAAATCCTTCACACAGCCCCCAAATCTTCACCCAGGCCCCAAATCTCCATCCAACTCTAATCTCTACATCCAGCCCCAATCAACTCCAAAAAAAACTCTGTTTAGCCCCCCAAAAAACTCTGTTTGCATTTTCCCTTCTCACCAAAATGCAAACCCAACCCAAGCTCTGCTGTTTAAGTACACAAACTGGGTGTGAGCATTGGGCAAGCTGTGTCTTGAGGGATAATTAACCTTTGCGCTAATTGAAACAAACACCAAACAGGTTTGGGGTGACCTCAGTGCAGTGTCACTGACCTTCAGTCCTGATTTCAGTGCTGTGTGCTGCGAAATTATCAAAGGATTTGCAATACCATCGTCAGCAAAACCCTGTGCCCGAGGGCTGATTCCGTTGGGATGAGATAAAGGGAAGGTAAAACCTTCCAGCAATGGGAATCCTGCCCTGAAAGGAAGGATAAAACCCTCCAGAATTTGAATTTTCCACATTGAGATGAGGATAAAACTCTCCAGAAGCAGCGATCCTGCCTCAAAAAGAGGAGTAAACGCTCCAGAAGCACTGGGGAATGGTTGGAGGAGATCTCCTGGCAAACCATCCCCAGGAATAAAGGAATAGAATAGAGATGGCAGTGCTTTAAGATCATGTGTCTGAGGGTACAAGAGTTCTCCAAACCCCAGCATAAGAAGGCAGGAAACCAGCGTGGCTGAGCAAGGACCTTCTGATCAGACTGAGGGATGAGAAAGAAAAGTCAGGATGGGGTGAAGCTTGGAAAGGGATGTAAAAGGGAAACATCACTCCCATTTTTAGGAAAGGGCAAAAGGATGAGCTGGCGAGCCTGATCCTCCTGGAAGAGATGTTAAAGCACATGAAAGATGAGCAAGTGATCTGAGATGGCCAGCATGGCTTCACCAAGGGAAGGTCGTGCCTGACCTGCCTGGTGATGGAGCGATGGCATCGGTGGATAAAGGAAAGGCAACTGATATCATCTACCTGGATTGCATAAGGCCTTTGACGTGGTCCTGCAGCACATCCTTATCTCTAAATCAGAGTGATATGGGTTTGAAGGGTGGGCTATTCAGTGGACGAGGACTTGGTTGAGTGGTTGCAGCCAGAGGGCTGCCCTGAGCTGCACCAAAATATGGGGGGGCTGAAGGGAGAGGGAGGGGGTTGGCCTCTCTGCTCTGCCTTCATGACATCCCATCTGCAGTGCTACGTCCAGAGCTGGGGCCTCCAGCACAAGAAGGATGTGGGGCCATTGGAGTGGGTCTAAAGGAAGGCATGAGGATGCTCAGAGGGCTGGAGCACATCTGCTGTGGATACAGGCTGTATGAGCTGAGGGTGTTCTGTCTAGAGAAGAGAGATCTCTCTGTGATTCTCCATTACTCAAAAGGAGCTGACAAGCAGGAGGGGGACACGGTCTGATAGTAATAGGACAAGGGAGAATGGATTTAAACTAGATGAGGGGAGGTTTAGGTTAGATGTGAGGAGGAAATAAATCACTCAGGGGGGGTTGAGGCACTGGCAGTTCTGCCCAGAGCAGCAGTGCATGTCCCAGGAGATGCTCAAGGATGGGTTGGATGGGGCCCTACAATTCTATGATTGTATGGTTCATTCTGTGATCTTTAGGGTCCCTTCCAAACCAAACCGTACTCTCTTACGACTCTATGATAGACCTGGGATGGTCAGGAAGTTGAGAAGGAGACAGAGCAAGGAGGGCAGCTGACCAACCTAAATCAATATTTGTGTTTACGATTACTGTTACTTCTCTCTTCCATCTTAATAAACAGATTTTATCTCAACCTACCAGTCCAACAGGTTTTTCTTCATTCTCTTCCCCATCCCACTGAGAGGAGTGACTGAGGAGCTGCTGCCGAATTGTCACATCTTGCCTAGAAGGGGAGGGGAGCAACGACTGGATTCACAATTAACCCTGATTAAGGCGTAACGATATGCAGAGGTCTGCATGCTGTTATCAGTTTTAATGAGAATCCATGTAGTACAGTTATCCCAAAACATTGGTGCACAAATATCCCCCCCAAAAAAGTCATTCTTTACATTCAGAATCTGTATTGAACTGTGCAGCTAAACTATGTGACCTCAAGGAGCTGAAATGGAT